CGTGCTGGCCCGCAATCCCGCCCGTGAACTATAGCGACTGCAGCATTTCTGCACCCTGACTGCTGGCACTATTTATAAACAGAGCCCGAGCTAGCCGGCGAGCAGGGCTGCCCGGGAGAAGAGTGTCCTCGCTCCGCAGAGACCTTAATGAAATCATTCATTCCCACGGACACACCCTTCCCACCACCAGCTCTGTTTCGAGTTTCGGTCCCGCAAATAGCGAGCTAGGCAGAGGGTGACCAGCAACCTCGGCAGAGCAGAAAGGGGACCAACAGGCGCCTCGAAGTACAGATCCGTGTCGGTACTTTAAAGGAATCGGTCGGCGAGCTGAAATAGTTATTCTGCCGCACCCGCGTTTGAGCCTGTCGCTCTCCGCGTCGTGTCGTCCCGTCCCGTGTGTGTCCCCCCTCACCCCAACACACTCCCTGCAAAAGCAAGGTTGTTTGGCGCTCGGAGCGCTGCTTATTTGCGTGGCCGGATCGTGACCCCAGCGTGGATCGGTTCCTTCCACCCACCCCTCCTCTCAAAAAGCAGAGAGAGAAAAAAAAAAAAAGCTCAAAATAGCAAAAAGGAAAATATTATTTTTACACAGGAACTAGACATTATCCCAGTAAACACGGAAACAATACCCAGGAGCTGCTCCTCGCACTAACTCGAGATCAAAAGAAGCCCCTGTCCCGGTGTAAATGCATTTCAAAGCGCAGGAAAGTGCCGAGGGCGGCTGGCGGAGCCGCCATGCACAGCCAGCGCCCGGGCAGGGACGAGGAAAGCGACGGGGGCCGGGTCCTTACCTCGATGGGGCTGACGGGCGTGGAGGGTAAAGGCTGCAGGTATTCAGGGTGTAAAATGTGTCCAGTCCGCGCCGTGAGCATTTTCAAGACTTTGATGGGAAGGCGGTTGGCTTGGCGTAGCGGGTCCGAGGGGGGGACGGCGTGGAAGCAGGGCTTGGCGGCGGCGCTGCTGCCGTTATTCCCAGCGTGCCCGTTCGGCCCGGCGAGGTCGGCGGCGCTGCGGCTGCGGCGGGGGCTGCCTCCGGGCTCGCTGAGGCTGCTGCTGCGCTTACTACTTCTTATAGCAGAAAGCGAGGGCGATGTGATCATGACCCAAAACCTCGCATGAAAACTGGGGCAAGTGGCGCCGCTCACACTCGGAAACGCTCGCTCGCTTTCTGCGGGCGAGAAAGGAAAAAAGCCACACGCCCCCCGAGCAGAAAAACAAACATACAATGTCCCGTGGCTCTCTCTGGCGGGGAGGGCGTGGGTGG